TATATATATATATATATATATGACTTATAAGAATGACATCAAAGAAAAGAATATTACACGGATGTAATAATAGTTTTATTGAAGTTTTGCTCAAGTTTCCTCATAAATTGTCCGGCAACTCATCCTTCGTCCATATGAGTTCCACGACTTTCCCCATGCGAGCGGACTCTTCACAGGCTGTAGCGATTTTACTCACCGCTAGGATGTCTTTCGATTTGACCTCCGACTCAGTCTTATCATGTATTACATCAAGGAAGTGTTCAAACTCTCTTTTGTAACCGTTCATAAAACGGCTAGGCCATGAGTACCAGATCGGGGCGGTGATAATTCCTTGTAGTTCATTATACAAATGAACGGAGTTCAACTGTCTATTGTCGGCTTGCAACATACCCTTCGGACCGAAAACTTCCAGTCGTTGATCATATCCATATGGGCTGTTGCGCGATAAATCGATCATACCTAGTGTTCCTGAAGGAAAATGGAAGTTCACTGCAACCGTGTCGAAGTCTCCAATGGCCTTAATCTCTGGGATATTTGCGTGAGCTAGGACCGAAACCTGTAATTCGTATTTTATATCTTTTTTTTTTGATAGATACGATTTGTGCAATTTTTTAGTTCTTCGAAATAATTATAAAAATCCGCTTTTTTTAAGATAACAACTGCATTTTTAAGATATTAATAGATACACAAATTTTTTGTATACTAAAAAAAATTACTAAATCTTATATATATTTCTTTGATTAATATTAAGTAAACATTTGCTCACAGTAAATAAATATTTACTTAATAAAAAAATAATAAAAATGAATGAAATTAATGATTTTTGATGTCAAATAAATATCCTTGGTAAAAAAATTGATACAGATTAAGAATATAGAACGATAGGATTTTTATCAATTTGTATCGTTTTCTATAAGATTATATCATTTTTTATCACTTCACGATTATTCGGATATGAATCCTATTGTATTTTATTGAATTCTATAAGATTTGTATAAGATTTCTATAAGATCTGATTGAAACTAATGAATTCACGAATCAGATTTGAAATGATATCATTTTTCTATCGTTCTCTATCAACTTTTTTAACTAGGGGTATGTTTACATGTAGTAAATATTTACTTAGGATTATTCAATCAAATATTTATTAAAATTAAATATTTTTCTCAGGGTACATTGCGTATAATATGTGTAAAAATCGTACCTTATCTGGATATTCTCCGAGAACCCAAACAATCAGGTCGATATCGTGGACCAGGCAATCGTGGAAGATACCGCCGGATACTTTCAAATATTCTAGAGAGAGCAGAGGAGAGTCATGAGCGACTCTTTTAATCATGTGGACATGTCCAACCTCCCCTTTATGAACTCGTTGTTTCAAATTCCAATAACTGGGATCGAATCGCCGATTGAACGCGGTAAATAGAGGCTTGCCGACTTTCTTGGCCATCTCATAGCATTTGACGGTGCTTGGGCGATCTTCTGCTATGGGTTTCTCACAGAAGACTGCCTTCTTTGCTTCCAGAGCTTTAATAACTATATCTTTATGTGTGATAGTCGGCGTCGCCACAAAAACCGCATCGACACTTTACAAATCGTGAAAAACAAACGTTACTTGTTTGTACAGATATTTGTATTACAATTTGTTGTTGATTTGTATTACACAAATTTATATTGTCTAGATATAGAAATTATAGAAATTATTATATGTAATTCGTGTAAATATAATTTATAATATATAATTTATATTAGACACATATAAGTCTATTATAACAGATATTTAATTTTTAATTTTAATTTAACTTTAATTTAATTTGATTAGTCGACAACATTTTTTTAATTGATGTAGTTACTTACTTGGAATCTTTGAATACTTTGTCACACTGCTTGCTACTTAGGAAGGTAACGTTGTCCAGGTGCCAATACTTTCGAATGCTTTGCCATTTACTCTTGACATCATCAATGATATATAAAATTTGGACACGTCTACTAGTAATCATAGTCTCTAAATGTATCGTCCCGGCATGACCCACGCCGAACAAAGCCACTTTTACTATCGGTTCCTTCTCCGTTTTTAGAGTTAAGTGTTCTAAATATCTAGAAAGATATTTCTTTAATGTTCACTTCTACCAGTCGAATAATTTCAATCTCTTAAAGATATTTAATAATTTAATTTACTCTTTATCTTTTTCTATTTTTAAAATTAAAAAGAGACTAGAAAGAGATAAAAAATTAATTAATTTGAGATTATAAATATTAATTTCAGTTTAATTTACTTTTAATATAATATTTAATATAATATTTTAATATATTTTAATCTATTTATCTAATATATTAATCTAGGTTCTACATTAGTAGAAGAATCGTTAATAAAAGAAGATTGGAAGCAAAGAAACTTAAAATCTTGAAGAAATATAATTGAAATTTCTGGTCTCGAAAGTGAAAAATTGCAGTAATTTTCTACCTACATAAAAGTCATTTATAAAATTAATTAAAAATTTATTCATTTAAAACCCATATGTATTTTGTTGCGCGTAGACATTTCTCATGTCGATTTTAAATTAAGAATAGGAATAAAATTTTAGGAATATAAAAATAAACGTTCTTCAATAATTAAATTTCCATCAATCAAGTATAATATTTGTTTTACAATCACATCGCTCCGATGCGAATTTATATTGTGCAATGATATTGAAATAATTACTCACTTCTTATATAGGTAATCATCTTCAGGTGGCGCAGGCTTCGGTTTGACGTAGGGAGACGTTTCTTTGAACTTTGCCGTTGCCATTATTACGTGTTATATGTATATACTTTGGTTCCAAAATTTGCCACAATCCAAAAACTGGTTTCTAGCCAACGATCTCGATAATAGCTTCTTATATAAGAAAAGATAAATGAAAGTGGGGGTTGTTTACTGTGACGCATATTATTATCCAATAACCGCCAATCATGTAATAGATAAAAGAGCTGTTGTTTTTATTGAATAAGGATTCTGTAAATTTCTTCGTAATTTTCTGAATTTTTTTTGTCATTTTTATTTTTATTCTTACTGACTATTCTTATGCCAAGAATTCTTAATAAACTTTTCAACAAGTACAAAAAGATGAGTATGAATTTCTCGCAACATAAATTATCGAATAATTAATGCATTAAAGATAAGTTTGATAAATGCATTAAAGATATATGTTTGAATTTAAAGTATGATGAATTTAAAGTATTTTTATTTAATTGCTCCTCTGTCGAAGCCGGTGTATTGTCTTAAAATCTATGGGATTTAAGATCTAATTAATTATTAACGTGCTTTGTTGCTACAAAAAAGCGTCACATAAACGACACTTGGCAGCAAGAGATACTTCCAGAAGATTTTACCCAATCATTAAATTTATTCACGAGGCACAATGAGAGAAGTTCAATATTGCGATGCACTCGTTCAAAACGAAGGATAGAATGAGAGAAGATTCACGCGGCGATAGAGAAGACTTATGTCAATTTCCATCAACATAGATTAATTTAAAATTTTTCTTTTTCTAATCTTAAAATTAGAAAAAGACGAAGAGTAAGTTGAATCGAGATTAAAGTCAATTTATATTGGAAACGAACATTATAGCGTTTTTTCTTGACTGCATTATCGCTCACTAGTACATCACTCACACTGTGTTTCCATGGCTGGTGATAAGCGAACTCATTCGGTATATCGTGTTTCCTACGGTGTAGTGTAAATTTTATGCTACACCATCTCAAAGGGATGATATAGAGCCAGTGTGACATTTAAAATTTGAAAACGGAAATCAAACGGGAACAGAGTTTTAGCGTAATAAGTAGTGTATATCACTCTTGTTTAGTGTAGCTGAGTGTAGCGCTTACATGCAACTGATGCGGTACGAGGCTGCACTCAGTGTATTCCAAGAGAACACGCTAATAATTCCAGCATAGTCAGTTGATCATTCTAATAGGTCGAACATAACGTTGACTTGTCTTTGAGTGTTTTATATATATTTACGATATCTTTCATTTCTTAAAACTTTACCACGATGACCTGTAATATGTAATGATCGAAGGACTTGTTATCGCTGCAATTATGTTGACCATTTGTCCATATTATAACTTTTATCGCAAAAAAACTGTGTCATAACAATTAGACGTACTTCTAGTTTTCTAAACTTTTAAAATGGTCTGAAATAGCTGTCAAAATTATTTACTGAATAGTTACAATAATATGTCAATAAGTAACTTGAAAATTTCTATTATGCAATATCATAGAAGGGACAAGAGGTTATCGATGAAATTATCGCATTATATATCGTATCTTTGAAATAAAAATAGATTGCAAAAAATCGCGCGCATAAAATGTATACATTCTGCCATTGCAGATTAAATTAAGATATCACATAACAATGAGAAATCTGCTCGAACGAATTACCATAATTTATTTAAATAACGTAAATTAAATAACAAGCAACAACAAATTTATGTAGAATGCGTCGTGAGTTTTCATCAATCGAGAATGTTCGTCGATCGGTATAAGATTTATAATAAAACCGCACCTCTGACTTTCTTCTTATTCTGAAATCAATTAAGATATATGTTTTTATCATGTTGCAATTGATCACATTCGGCAAATGCAAGCTAAATAAAATCGGCTTTTGGATTTATATCTTTTTTACTAATGTAATTTAATTTAAATTTAAATTCAACTGGCTTTCCATGTTTTTTTAGTTCTAAGAATTGGAAAAAGATAAAGAGTAAGTCGAATCGAGTTTAAAATTAATTTCGTAAACGTTAGCAGAAATGGCATTAGTTAATTGATTTTTTAAATGAAATATATTTAATCAATTACGATTTAATCAATCACAAAATATTAATTGCCTCTCTACGATTGCATTTGCTATAAACATGTCTAATATCAAAGAGAGCTTTGTGAGACAACCACCAATTGTGCCAGCGAAAACTTCGAGCTGCAATTTTTATTTTATTTACAATATAACTGTTACTCTTTAATAAAAAAAATGATAAGATTTTTCAAATGAAGATCTGTGTATTATCGCTCGACATAATGAGTAGAAATGCTTAAAATTGATGCATAAGAAACATATCTTAAAGTTATCTTGTGTGTTGATTTTAGACATTCTACTCATTGAGAATTCCATGAATATTTTTGAGAAGCGACTAGAAAATAAGACAATGTTTATTCAGTTCCTTTATTAAGCTAGCACACACTGATATCTCACAATTCGTCGTTTGCCTTACGATATGCTTGCTTCGGCACGAAAATAACCTCATCCCCATAGCTTTCCACGTATGTCGACCTCTTTCTTCTATCACTTCCCGGATCGACGTCGATGAGAGCTATACTCGATTTAGTCGATCTAATAAATAAAAGTGTATCATTGCTTGAAATATATTATATAGAATTTTCATTATATTTCATGAAAATGTATTCTATAACTAAGCCGATATTAATTTTTCTTTATAAAAATATTAATATTATAATTATAAGTATAAATTACATTAACTTTGATTTAATATTTACTTATTTTGGAAGAATAACTTTACGAGATGAAAACAGAAGAAAACAGTTTATTTTTTAATTAATTTATGTATTATAACAGAAGAAATAGTAGCTATGTTCAAGAGGATCAAAGTTCTTTACTTAAAATCTTTAGTAGATATGAAAATTTATGTTTTCACAAATTAATGTTTTATCAAAGGATATTGCCAATTTTCTTTTCAAATTTCGTTTCACGCATACGTAAAGAAAATCAATTTCAGCATCTCTATTAAGCTTATGAATAATTGAAAAAGCGCAGCAATCAACATTTATGTCGAAAGTAAGTTGAATTAATGATGAAACAGCAATTACCTCTTCTTACTACCATTAAGATCCGCCGATACCGTAAGATCACGCGGTCTCGAGAAGTCACATTCTAACGTAAAAGCAGTGTCACCTGGTGTTAATAGCTCGTCGTCGTGCTGAATCACTACGATGTTGCTGTATTTGTCACCATTCTTTCAACGAAACAAAAAAAATGTACGAAAAATTTTGAATGGTATAAATAATATAAAATATAAATTATTGATCTTAAACCGTAAGTTATTTTAAAGTATATACATTAAATAGTGATTAAAGCTCTCTAATCTAGTTTGCGAGTAATTTCTCGTAATAGAGATAGATTGTAATTTATATTGTTAAAGAATTATAAAACATGAAAAGAAACAATTTAAAAAAATCCCTTACAGAAGTTGAATTTCCTGTTTTATTATATTTATTTAGGTTAACAAATAAAAATATGAGAGAAATTAAAAAATGTAGAAATTAAAAAATATCACAAGATAATATATATTTGAAAATGTGATGTACAAGTTATACTTTCTTTTACCTGCTATGATATTTTGTCGTTATGTCGTTTATAATATACAATGATGAAGAAAATGTCACGATTTAGAAAATTATAAAAAAATTGTATGGTAGTTACTCTTTAGAAAGATATAATTTAAAAGAAAATGAAAGGTTTCGGAAAAAAGAGAGAATCACGTTTTCTTTCTACTTAAATAACTTGTTTTACTTATCAAGGCTAATAAATAATAAATAGTTTCGAAAAGAAGAAATTAATAGAACAAACAAAAGTTTAAATAACGTACCCTTTCAGTATCACATTTGTTCAAAGGAATGCTCATGGTGAAACTTCTACCGCGAACTGGATCGAGGAAACAGGACGGTTCTCGGGAATAAAAGTTACCCTGCGTGTAGATCACCCCTGAGAAATCGTCTGTAGTTTTAAGCTCGACAGTCATTCTTTCAGCGCCGCATCGCAACCCCACGCGATCATAGCCATCGGTGGATGTACCTATCTGCATGTCTTTAGACAGATCTTGTTGCCAGATCTCTTTTGTAATTGATTGAGCTAGTTTTAGATTTTATTCTCGATCTTTTAAGTTCTCAGTTGTTTAATGTAAAATAATTTAAAACTGAGTAATTGAAATAAAGTTTTATAAAAGTTGAAAACGAAACAACGCAACAGATTTATTCTATTTCTGTGAAAACTTGAGAAAGAAATAATTTTAAATGAAAAGAAGATTAAAAAATTTGGGAAGGAAATAATTTCAGATTCAGAAAGAAAATGGAAAAAACACACTCTGTATTCTTAATTACAATTCCTTTAAATACATATTTGAATAAGTTTATTATTTCATTCTAAAACAAATATGGATTTAACACTATGTCTATATATATTCTCATCCTGTTGGTATTAATATTAAAATTATATAATAATGTTAAATCCATATATCTATATTTTTTAAAGTGATGATATTATTTATTATGTCATTAATAGATTCATGATTACATTTCTTAATTTGAAAAAAAAGTCATCAGTTCATAAAAATTCAAATGACATTTTTAATGAGAGAACAACTTTTAATATTTAATATTTTTAATATTTATCACTTTTAATATTTATCACAAAAAAAATCTTAATTTCAAAGAAACATCTCTTCGCTCAAGTTCGCTAGTCAAAAAAATTATTTTTTTGGATCAATGAAAATTTCTTTGAAAATAAGATATTGTACTTTCAAAGAAATTTTTATTGATCCAAAGAATTTTTTTTATTACGAACAAAAAATATTTCTTTAAAATTAAGATTTTTTTTCAGTATATTATTAATCAAAATTATTTAAAAAGACAGAATTTCATGATTTGATGATTTAATATCTCATTTTCGATAAAAACTCTTTTATCATCTCAGACTAACGGATCACAGCGAAGTCGCAATCTATCTCACCTGCATTGCTCATCTGCTTAGTGTTTGCTAAGAACGTGAGAAGTAGAATCGAACGCATGGTCACGTGGGAACAATAAGCGTGGACGAACGACCGTGAACTGGCGATAAACTCAGTTCGCTCGATGCCAAGATGCCAACATATCGTCTGCCACCGTTACACCGTCGGGGTGACTTTCTTCCCTCTCCACCCTCTCCTCCCCACTTTAATTCACATCCGAATCGGATACTTTCACCGCGTGATGAGACGATCATCTTTTTCTACCTTTTTTCTTTGTATGTCATAGTCATCGCATGGATCATCGATCATTGTCGCGGCTCGTTGATTCGGAACTGCAGGCTCAAGCGCTGTTCGTTTTTGTAAACTCACGCAAATTATTTATGTATTAATTTAATATTGATTTATAAGAAATGCCGCTTTTTTTCTGCGTTATACAACAGGAATTATTTTTTATCAGGGTCTGCTATCAAGAATAATTACATACGTAAAATTCTTATACTTTTCTTATAAAAATCTATTTTAATTATAAAAATATTTTTTTTTAATTCTGTACTTTGTAGATATTTCTTATGTGGAAAAATCTTTGGAATATGAGGAATTTGAGAAATTCTCGAAATTATTAGTGAATAAATCTTATTCTCATATTTTACTTGCTAATGCAAATTATTTATGTATTAAATAATTTATCTCATCAATTTACAAGAAAATAAAATGGTTTTTTTTCTGCAATTGTATAATAAAATCTAGAAATTACTTGAGAAATTATTATTTTTATTGATTTTTATTTTTAAGAATATTAACAAATGTGATAAATTGTTATATTTCATTTTTTTAATAAAAATTTATTTTAACTATAAAAAAGATCTATTTTCTCTTTTAATTTTATACTTTTTATAGAATATTGTCTTGGAAATACAAAAAAAAATTTTTTAAAGCAGGAAATTTCTTAGAATTTGAGAAAATTTTTGAAATTTTAATTATTGCAATCTCATTGCTGTTTATGTCCTTTTGATATTTTAATTATTAACAATAATTATATATACAATTATCAATAAATATATATCATTACGCTGATTTATATATGTATAATATGTTTTCTGAGTATATGTACGATAGATATAAATGTTATATCATATAATTTTAATAAAAAAGAAAAAATTAGGATATTGTTTCGCCATTAGTTTTCCTACAATTTGAATACAAATTCTCGAATTTGCGGATTCAATTGTTCGGACACTAAAACGCGGGTAATTCGAACGTTATATTATATTTCTAGCCTTAGTTGGAAGTATAAGAATCCAGTGATATTTTCGTTGATAGTTGGTAGGATTGCGTGATATTATCAGCCGAAAGCTGGCTTGAGTCGTAATTTACATTTATTCACAGATACTGAACTATCGACATGTCTGTCAGTCGTGTGTCGCAGATTTTATTCTCTCGCGTGTCATACGCAGCCCGAAAACCGCAGCAATTCGCCGCGCCTGTTTTCAGGTATTATTCCTGTAAGTATCAAATATACCTGTAAACACAGATCTCTCCTCCGTCGGATTATCACCAGCCGGACAGCTGGTCGTAACGTCGGAAACGCCGGTTTCGTGGTGAACACCCGGTATAATCGCTGCTCTACGCTACAACTTGTTTTCGAGGCTTTTATTAAAAAAATATATTTATATACTGATATTAAATTCGATCACACATTAATAATACACTTGAGAATTATTCACTGCGAATATTAAAAATCTATAATTATATACGTAATATGAATAACGGCAGTCCAAAATAATTTCTCCATAATTATTTTTTGTAACATTATTATACATATACTTATATGCGTATGATTTGCGATTCGCACACGGTTTTAAGAAGAAATTTAATTATTTGCCAGATATTTATGTGTATTAATAATGATAATATAACTATACGTGACAAAAAATGTTTATTATATTGCTTTTAAAAAAAAAAATCACAAGTTATTTCTCGGGGAACACATATTTATATATCAAGAAAAAAAATAAATTTAATATAATTTAATATAATTATAATATAAATTTTATAAATTTTTTACTTATGTATAGCACTTTTGTATTATTTATACTTTTGTAATCTTGTTTTGATTTTCAAATTACTTTAAAATTAGATATCTCGTGTAATAAGGTTCTTAAACTTGTCTGTAGAGTTCATTGAGATTAAATAAGCCAAGCAGAAAACATGCCATTTCATTGTTTTCCTTTGAACGCATGAATATAACTCAAGCGTGCAAAGCTGTTTTTTGATATTTTTCAGAATTTATAATTTATGTATTTAATAATATTTATTTATTTCGAGAAGAAATACAAGACAATTTATGTTAAAGTGACAAACAATAAAAAGATATATAAGAATAATTTTCTGATAAAATTATTAATTAACAACGTTTGATTTGCTAAAAACAAGATTATCTTTAAATTAATTAATAAATTAAAAGAATCTTCGTTCTTTTTGAGACACCTTGTACATGAAACAGACTTTGTCATTCATTGCCTATTCTTGTAGTTATCTTCATGTTGGTGATCGTTCTTGATTACATAATATACATATAGAAAGTTAAGGCTCGCTAAGAACTAGAAAAAAATAAATAGGAAGTTGAACTAATCTTATATTTGTGGAAGCTAAAACATTGAGCATAATAAAACTACTTAAATATCTGATATATATATAAATAAATTATTATTTTTGAAAAAAAATCATGCATTATTGATGTTAATTAATTCTATCAAAACGTGTAGTACGTAACAAATAATATACTAGAAAAAGATTCCATTTTTTCGTTCTAGAGTGTATCGTTATTTGAATATAATTATTAATATCCTTTTTTAGTTGGACATTAATTATACACAACAAATATGTGAATCATTAAAAGCAAGCATATTATAACTCCAATAATAATTATATGTTTCGGCTACATTTTATATTAATGTAATAATTAGTTTTTTTTATTAGCAAAAATTTTGTTATTATTTACTGTACCTGAATAAATTGTATATTTTACAGTCATTACGGAAATGATACATTCTAATTTTTTTTTATAACACATAATCTCAATGAAAAAAATTGTTTGCTTTTTATATCATCATTTTAGGAACTAATCACGAACTAATTATTCTTTAAAAAATTCTTTTATTTTTCTTATTGTTTAATAAAAAGTATTTTTTAATTTTTTAAATGAAAAAATATCTTTTTATTTTTCAAATAAAAAACCCTGCTCTGATGTGAGTTATAGATCAAACTGGCAATTATGAGTTCCTCAAACTTGAGACTGCAGGTGAAAAGAAAAATGTAGGCATTGTTACCTTAAACAGGCCAAAAGCTTTAAATGCTTTGTGTGATCAATTAATGAATGAAATAATTCGAGCTTTGAAACATTTCAATTCGGATTCGTCTATCGCCGCTATTGTCCTTACCGGAAGTGAAAAGGCATTCGCTGCTGGTAAGATTTTATTTTATTTTACATACTGC